ATGAACGAACAGTTATTTTAGATTGTCATTCGATATGTGTTCTGTCATTCGGTTATGAAATTTGTCAAATAGTTATGTAACAATGTCTCAACGGATATGTGAAAAGGTGTACTCCTTGTCAGGCAAAGTCTCTGGTATAGTACTGTGGTTCTTGGAGGTGCAAGGTCAAGCGGTGAGGTCAGTTGGCTTAATTCACTTATCTGAGGTCTAGTGGTGGCGTCAGGTGTAGTGCTGTGGTCCTGATGTTTTATCCAAGAGAGCAGATCCACTAAATATGCTGTGTAACAGCTACCAAACAGGGAGGTACTAACGCCTGGGAAGATATTGGAAGCATAATGTGTTGTCTAATGGTAGACCCTGCTGCCATATGGCATCACGAATATTGTGACCAAGTCCCAGGTTGCTCATCTGTCTTTCTGCCTCATTTACACACAATTGCAGGGTCTCAATTGTTTCTCTTACTATTGACAACACAACATACTATACATCTAGCGTTTCTCACTATTGATTATTATTTTTCTTTTCTTTATTATCATTATTACAGTGTTATTATTATTATTATTATTATTTTATTTTACTTTTTATTATAAATTTTATTTACTATGAATTACTATTATTAAATTTTCGCCCCCTAGGTTCCGATGTGGGTCAGTGACCTGTGCCCGGGTGGGCTAATCCCTTTATAAAAAAAAAAAAAAAAAATATACATTGTGCTGCTCAATGTCTTATAAGTCTATAACTCCCTATGCTATATAACACCCTACACATCACCATGCAACTGTTTCATTTACATTGTCAGTCAAATGTCATCTGCTAACCCGATGTCACTTCTAAACAGTGGACTGAAACGTGAAATCCCATTGGTTGACAGAGGAGGAAGCAAGAGTCAGGTGAGAGAACTTAACCAGTAGCCCCCCTGTCTGAAGCCATCAAGAGAGAGGCTGTAGTTTACTGGTTGGTACACTGGCTAGAGAGAAACAGTCAGGTAATGTTCTGCTACCTGTAGTCTTTCTTATCCAGCTGATGCATTGTACAGTATCCTGAATCAATTGGATGAGAAAAGCTATTAATAACAATGCATTATCTAACTATGGTCCCTCTATTTCTGGTGAGTGTAAGGTACAAATGGTTATGTTCTCTCACAGGTTATATAATTGTCAAATCCAAAAACATTGTTAAGACAGTATCTTATTTATGGTAACTTAATATAGATAAGAATAAAATTGTCCCCAAACTATAAAATATAATCATTTACATCTAATAACATTTCTGATAGACCAACTTGAAGATATTTCAGTTAACGTTACATGTATACAGTCAGTTCTGCTATAACGCGATAGTTATGTTCTTGTAAAATATCGTGTTATAGAAAATCGCGTAATAGAAATAACAGGGCTTATGGAGAAAATAGGGTTAGGTGCAGATTACTACTCGAAATCGAAAAAAATTTAGTAGTTAGCCTAACACAAAGGATAGCACAGTCTAAATAAATGTTACATTCATATCTAATAATGAAATCATACAGTAAATGTAACACTTTACCTTGAAAAAATATGAATATAACTTGATGGGGGAGAAGGGTGATTTTGAGGTTGATAACATCGAGCTTCTCTTCAAGTGTTATATCCTTTCTTTTACGATCATCACCAGGAATTCGATCACCAGAACGCTTCTTGGAGATATTCTTCTTTACCATATTCACAGTTAATACCACAAAATTGGAGAAATAGTAAGCAAAAATCGCGTTATACAAATATCGTTCCTCTATTCATAAATCGCGTTAGAGCAAATTTGCGTTATCAAAACACGCGTTATAGCAGAACTCACTGTATACAGATTTGGCCTGTCTACCATCAGCTGAATCGTGACCTCTCACTTCAACAATGACTTCCAGCATCCCTCCCCCACCCACCCTCAGGCAGCATAAGAACCTAACACTTCAGAACAACGGTGTCTTGTAGCTGTAACCTTTATTACAGCTTCTCTTACTTCCCTAATCCTCTTGACTTGTTTTGTTTCCCTCCATTTTGAACATCAGTCTTGTCATCCTAACTGTGCAGCCGGATCACCCTCAATACACTCATAACTTACTGCTTTGTAACTTAATCGGCAAATGAAGAATAAACATTTAATTGCATTATCCATAAAATAACATGTTAAGTTCCTGTACAGGGTATTAATATTTTTGATTTACAAACTACAGTTAGTTCTGATCTATGATGACAGACAATGTTATAGGAGAAACCTTATTTTCCATGCAGTAAACACTTCTTAACCCTTAAACGACAGGTAAGGTTTCCTACACCGGCCCCACGTGCACAAAAATGGAACGCAAGAAAAATTAAATGTTCTCCGATGATGACGGACGCCGTTAAGGGTTCGAGGAAAGATTCATAACAAACGAGTGATCATGCACTTGGACTGATGGAACTCTCAGCATGAAGCAAGTATGACCATCACTACATGCAAGCAACTCAGCATATCAGCAAATACCAATCAATAAAACCCACCATGAAAATAACCATACGATGGGGCAACATCACAGGGAACGGACTAATAGTAATTAAGATAGAGAGTAATATATAAAAATAGGAAAATAATAGAGAAGGGAGGTAAAAAATGGATTGCCAGGTATAGAATAAAAAACGAACAGCCATACTAAGTGGTTTACAGTGACAGTGACTAAACTCAGCTGAGATACATGTTGCAATACAGGTAAAGGTGTGTAGGGGTCATAAAGTTGTAAGTGATGATGGAAGACATACAGCATGTAGAAAAATAAGAGAGTACAAGTCCTGGACAAGGCAATTAATACAGATGGAGAAGAATACCACATTAGTTCACCAGAGAGGATAGATGCTGAGGTGTACTGTACATGAGAAGAGAAACAGCAGAAGGTACATAGAGGAGACAGATAATGTGGCTACCTCTCATATGCCAATTCCCACATTCAGAGCAAAGTTATACATGCAAGTTTAATTGTAGCTTGGTAGTTATCAATCAGCTTCACATACTTTGTGCTAAAACACCAAAATGCAACATTTATACTGTAGTATTTTATGAGGAAGTCCACATGCTTGTTTGACTTTCAGAAAATGGAAGCATTTGTGTTTTGCTTGTACTGTACTGTAATGCAATGTACTACTTTTAAAAATTAATAATATATTTGAGTAAACAAAACTACAGGATAAAGTACAGTAATAAGGATAAAGAGTTAACATTAATAAATATATGATAAGAACCAAAAGTGAGAGTGAGACAAGTGGTTAATTATTATCATTGAAGTACAGTATTATGATCAGCATTTGCTTCTACTGTAGTATTAGATGACAAACTCAGCCATTAGGATAATGGTGGGAAGAGGAAACTAAGAACAAAACTTAATAAACAAGAAACCGTTAAGAACAGAAGAAAACAGTGTTAAAATTTAGGAAAACGGTGCTAGATTCTGAAGAGTTAAGAGAAAGTGTGGCAGCTGCCATGTGTAAGATGCGATACACCTGTACAGTAATAAAATAATTGAATCATGGTTAAGAAATATGAAAAATCCTTCACTGCTCCTTGTCTCTCAGGATATATGGTAGGACTAACTTGTCTCATATCTATACTTTATTAAGTACTCAACTTTATATTAAAAAATGTAATGACAGTACACAAATACTTTATCTTAACCTAACTTTATAATCAATTCATCTAGCCATCTGGGTCCATGAAACTACTTGTAATGCACAAAAAAATATAATAAACTTCAATAAAAAAAAGATGTATGTGAAGGCAAATGAAAAGTGGGAGTTAAGCCAGAGGATAAAATATGAGACAAAAGAATATATATATATATATATATATATATATATATATATATATATATATATATATATATATATATATATATATATATATATATATATATATATATATATATATATATATATATATATATATACACAGTGGTCCTTCGATTAATGAACACAATTGGTTCCACAGAATCGTTTGTTAACCAAAAATTTTGTTCACCGAACCTATTATTTCAAAGGGATATTGGGTAATTGGTTCCAACTCACAGAAAAAGCATATACAAAGTACTGTATACCAGTAATAGAATTAACAAAACATTAAATATAAACTAAATACAGTACTGTACTGTACAGTATAATAATGAATAAAAACAATAAAATACTGTATTTTAACTTACTTTGAGGTGCATATGACGTATTCCCGACAGCTTTGTTTACATATCAAACAGCTGATTGTAGAGGCAGTCGATGATGATGCCATATTCTTTACAGAGTGCATGGGTTCTAATGCCTTCTTCATGTTTCATAATAATTTCTGTACTGTATATTATCAATATGTGAACTAAATTTCAGAATGACCAATAATTTTAATGTAAAAATGCAAAAATATTCAAGAGACCAACAAACTGGATGTTCACTCCACTGTAAACAAAGTTAAACTGAGAAGCGTTGGTGGGTGATTCGATCAGCTGATTGACACACAAAAACTGTTCCCTGCACTGTATATATTATCAATATGTTAACTAAAAATAAAAAATAAAAAAATATTCAAGAGCACAACTTTCTTGATATATACTCCACTGGAAACGAATGTAAACATAGAACCAATTACTGTATTGGCGGACTAGCCGATCAGCTGATGCGCACAACAAAGCGTGTTTCTCGTAAGGCTTTCGTTAATCGAAGGTTTGTTCGTTAATGGAATTGAAGATCCTCATGGGAGCTAATTCGTTAATCAAAATTTCGTTAATAGGACCGTTCTTTAATCGAGGAACCACTGAATATCAGAGAGAAGGACTTACAACTGGAGGAGAATGTACAAAGATTTAAAAAATAAAAAATAAAAATAATGATGAAAAATATAGAAGGAAGATAAGTAAATACCAGCATGTGAAGAGAAGATAGAATATAACTAACAACAGAGAACAAGTGAAGGTGCCCATGTGGATGACAGAGATGCAGGGGACTGAAGGAATACTTACGTACCCTGCTGGTTAGGGAAGAAGAAGTAGAGTATAAGCCGGCCTCACGTACCCTACTCCCAGCAGAGGCGTGGCTATTCAGTTTCAAGTCGTTGCAATCGATACGCCACTGGAGACCATCAATTTCCTGTTCGTATTTCCAGTTGCGGTACAAAATGGTGGAGATGAAGGTGAACAAGATGAGTAATCCACCCATTGCCCCGGCAATGTACTTCTGGTATTCCTGATCTCTTCTGGCGCATTTTTTTCCGTCGTAGCCACACTCTGGCTCGTCCCGGATGTTGAACTTCTCGGCATGTAGCATAAGAGAAGAGTTCTGTTGTGGGTGAAATTAATTATGTAAATATTATGTGATTTATTTACAGTAAAACCTCTATTTAACAGACTACATGGAGAGGAAAATGCGTTAAATCGAGGGTCCGTTAGATATGAAACCTCCATATACCGAACTATATCGAGATGAAAGTCTGTCATATGGGGCTTTTACTGTATGCATGCACCTAGAAGGTTTTAGAAAAGTGTACATGATTGGAATATTTTTCCTACATGTTTTTAGAGAACCTTCATTATTTCACTAAACATAACAATAACATATAAAGACAATTTTATGCTTTCGTTAGATGGGAGTTTCATATCTAACGGACCCTTGACATACAGTACAGTAATGAACTTTCCTCTCAGTATAGTTGTTAAATGGAGGTTTTACTGCATATGATAGTTCTGCTGGACTTTCCTAGGTCAATCTATTTATGTCTATGCACACATTTATACTATATCAGCATAAACTTATACCCTATGATGATTTTACTGAATAAATCTCTCTCCCTATCTATCTATCTACAGTATCTATCTATCTATCTACCTCTCTCTCTCTCTCTCTCTGCCGTGGTACTGACGATGGCTCACCTCACTGTAATAGTCACTAATCTTATAGAGACACCTGGAACAGTTGAGGCTGTCCTCCGTGGGGTCAGGGCATTTGGAGAAATAGTAAACGCTGTACTTGCCCTCACTTGACGCATTTGAATTCATGGTCATGTTGAACCCCAGGATGCCTGAAAAATTAGGTTCAGGTTAAGATATAATTATTTAACAGAGCTGAAGAGAGAAAGAGAGAGAGAGAGTTAAAATTTATGAATTCTGAAAAAAAGTATAATGGTATAGTTAACATACAGTATTTTAACCATACTGTTCTTGTCTGGGGCAGTTTATACACGCACAAGTATCTGAAAATACTACACACTGGTTTTATATTTCTGCCTCATGCTGTTCAGTCATTTTAGGTCCTGTAAATTCTTCCTAATGGACTCTGCACTTACAACTCCACTTATCACTTGTTTTCATTCTACACTTATCACTTGTTCTCATTCTACACTTACCACTTTGCCTCACTCTACACTGTGCACCTGAAATGCAACAATCAGTGTGAAAGCGTTAAGCACATACAGTAGTAACCTCCTACACTGTAACATGAGGTACATCCACACAGGTAATGAATTGTACATCAAATAATTACAGATCACATGAAGATTAGGCACCCCAGCTTATCAAACACACTAGTACTAACTGGGGGATAAGGTTAGGTTAGGTTATTTTAGGTTAGGTTAACTTAGGTTGGTTTAGATTAGGATAGGTTATCTTATTTTAGGTTGGGTTATGTCAGGTTAGATGTGTGTTAGGGTGTTTAACCATCAGATAAAATAACCTGGGGTACTAAATATTCACGTCATCCATAATGTCATCTGTAAGAGTCAACATCAAAGAACTGCTGCAACAGACACAAAAATATCAACTCAAATTAATTAATAAAAGAGTAACTAATTTGTACTTACTTAAATACGTCATTTTCTTGAGATGGTTCTTGATCCTGGCACCATCTTTGGCAATTTCTTCAACAGATTGTATCTTTGTTTCTTGGGCAGCATAGAGCTCAGACACTGCCCGGGCATACAACTGCACTGAGTCATATAGGTACGCCGACGTCAGATATGGAATGTGCTGCCCAAGAGATACTGTCAGATGACGCTTTATCATTCTGCTAAATGATGTGATGAGAATGTTTCCAGGGTGGGGGGGATGGGTAAAGAATGACTTAAAGGACAGCGGACATGAATCAGAGATCAATGCATGGAAAGGTCATAAGTGTGAAGTTAAATCATTAATGTATGGAAATAAAACAAATTAAATAGGTATAGGTGTGTGTGTGTGTGTGTGTGTGTGTGTGTGTGTGTGTGTGTGTGTGTGTGTGTGTGTGTGTGTCCTGTTTTTTTAGGCAAACTAGTACAGGTATTATAGCATATTAATCAACATAATGTCAAAAGAACAACAATGTTCCACAAATACTTTAATGCCATGTAGAAACTGAAGTGTTATTTAGATACTGTAGAACTATGTGGACAGTGGAACGTTATGCAGAAATAATATCAATAGAAACACGTGCAGGAAATAAAGGCCGAATAAGTAATAATCCGATAAATGGTGAAACGATGAAGGATTGAGTGTGTGTGTCTGTCTGTATGTAAAATATAAGAGAGCATTGAATTCTAGATAAGAAAATGATTGATGGAAAAGTTGAAATATGAGGAGGAGGGGGCGGGGGGACTGTGGTAGTGGTAAATATGAGTAACTGTGTATTCTAGTATACAAGAACAAGACTAAGCAAGACATTAATATGCTTCAGTAGTAAAGTATTATGGTTGAGATACAATATATTTAAAGAATAAAGATGAAAAAAATGGCAGTTACATGAATGAACAAATACGTCTTGATAGCAAGTTTTAAAAATCTTAGTAACTTTTATATATCTCCATCAATTTAAAAGGAAAGTTTAAAATTTTAATTTATTAGAGATTAATTGTTATAGATTATATTTTAAAACAAAGTTGCGATTTAAAGTGCATGTTCCCAACTGTTAAAATCCAGTGCTGAAGACAATATTCTGTACCTACTGCCAGCACTGAAGACACAGCAAGCAAGAGAGATAGTTAAATTTAGCAGAGAGAACATATAGTCAGATATATACTGTGCTTTGGCAATAAGGTATTTCCTCCGCACTGGGTTTAACACGCTGAGCCACACTGAGGCTACACATGCAACAGGTTCCATTCCGTAATAATCTTCATGCTCATTCATTATTTCCAAAACATATACAGCAACCAACACTGATTCCTGAGACAACATCAAGCCCTGCTCAGGCACTTATAAGTTCCTCCCATTACCACATTGAGGAAATAAGGAGAGCCGTTTGGAGTCCCTCTACAGTATACAACAAATGCCTCTAGTGCACCTGAAAAGACTCTCTCCGGTTTAGCTTGTTAAATCCTGTCTCTCAATGCATTCTCAATGACAGAGTGGTATTAATGGCCGTGTTGCTCGTGTCACACTCAGGGTTTATCCACTACACTATATACTCACCTTTGTTGACTACACTTACACCGATAGCTAAGAAGAACTAGTAACACCAAGCTACTCACTAAGATTCACCACACTTATAGCAACACTCCATCATTACTACCACTACGTCAATAAATACTAGCCAGCGCTGACTCCTTGTACAGAGCAAGTTATCATATGTGGTCATGATAAAGACAGAATGATAATGGCATCGTTCATTAACTGGATTACAATGAAAACTATCAGCGCTGTCTAGTTTGTTGTCATCAAATTACAAAATGAGTTGCATAATCATCCTGTAAACCACGCAGATCAAAATAATTAATTCACCAAAATCAAAACAACATAAATAACTAAATCAAATCACACAATTAATAAAAAAAAAAAAAAATCGCAAACAAAAATGAAATGCAACATAAGCAAGTCAGTCAAACTTATACAATATGTAATCAACAGTTTGGATCACATCGCCACATTACAAACATTTCTCCTTCATAAAATAGACATAAAAATTTGACTTTAACCAGTAACACATTTATACAGTAAGAGCAAATACTTCACAGAAAAGTTTTTTTTCCCTGAACATTAAATAATTACAAGTACAAGAAGCAAAAATATCATACTTACATTAGAATCTTCAGGAGTATTATGAAGTATTTACTATTACATGACTAAGGTAACATAATATTCCTTTGCAAATATTTCCTTCTCTTCTCAGTTTTAAATTTTGTTTTAGGAACTTTTAAATTATAGAATTATCCTTGTCAAACCAAGAGTATTACAGCACAGTGCCACATGTTTAATTACTCTACCTATAATTCTGATAAGTTCCAGAGGTAAGTCATGAAATGTTTAGGTTTTAATGCAGATAATAGCTCTGATTACACTTATTTCCACATTAGTATAATCAAAAGAACGGAAACTTTAATTATGAAACTCACGGTACTAATATAAAAAAATTTCCATCACAGTTAGTCGGGATAAGACCACGCGTATTGCAACATAATGATCTTAAACATATTAGATATATAATAATCATAAAAAAAAAATCAACGTATTGTAGAGCCTAAAATACTGACTTCCAGTGAACTTTTCAAGGGATATATGCTCAGAGTAACAGTTTAGGATTCTCAAATAATCCTCATAACTCAAGCCATTCACGTGACAAAAACAAGTCATATGAAGTTGACGCATTCCCAGCTATGGTTTACCCAGCACTAAGAGGCCGTAACCACAACAAAACTCATTTGTACAGTGCATTAGCTGTACAGTTCTGTGAAATTAAATTAAAAACTGGGAGATTAAATTTGATTTTACAGATTTATGATCCCAGACAGAAATTTATATTACAGCGAAATAACTTGTCATTACAGACAGGCATACATACACTACACACATTGCTGTATCCCCATGTAATCCAGCTGAAGCCAGGGAGATGAAATGGTTACTGGGTAGAACTTTTAAAAACGGAAATTAGATTAAAAACAAAATACAATCATGTTGCTAATATGGAGCATAGAAAGGCACAGTTGCCTATATGCATGAGTCACACCGTCCACTTGTGACTAATAAAAACATTGGGTTAATTTTCTTGGTGCAAAGGCAGATCTGGCAGAGTAGCAGTGGGCACCAAGAGACTGCTATCACCCTTTCTGACTTAACTCTCTCATTCATTTCTAAGTCAATCAAAAATCTGGTTTGGGCTCTTGTGATAGTCATGTAATGATTCTGGTCATGTGAAGTCAAACAGCCATACTGTTAATGGGAGGTGATGGTGTGAGGTAACATAGGATAATAAAGACAGTGATACTAAGTCATGACAAGTGGCAGATTATGTGAGATCAACAGAGGACAGTGAAGATAAGTGAGACTACATAAAGGTGGCAGGTAAGGTTATGGGAGGCTAACGTAACTGCCAGGATAAGGAGCAGACATCAAGATTTGTCACACTCAGATCACTGCCTGAACTCTTGAGGAAATGTTTGAGCATTTTAGAGAAGTAAGTCATTCAGGAGTGAGGAGCTGTCTATCAGGCTTCCTCAGTATGTACAGTCAGTCCCCGACTTACGACGGGGTTAGGGACCGACGACCAGGTCGTAAGTCGAATTGGTCTAAGTCGAAAATGCGAAAATAATACATAGAAAATCTAAAATGCGCCTCTTTTTCTTCTCAGCACCACGAAACTCCCACTTTTACGCTTGCCAGCCATTTTAATGGGAATTACAAAAAAAATTTTTGTCAGTGCACAGAACGATCACTTACGTCAGGACTCGAAAAAACGTAATTTGAAAAAAAATTGTATGACTGGCGGTCGTATGTCCGGGTGGTCGTAAGTTGAGGAGTACCTGTACTGTATTATGTTCCACTGAAATTTTTTTAACTTGAATCAGCTTCTAAACTTCCCAATCACTTAAAATTAAAAATTTTGCGAAAGCATTTAAATTATCATAAATGAAGAAAAAAGCAAGTTACTGAGATTTTGAATTCAGTTAGACATTTTCTGAACATATGAAGGTGATGTTGTCAACTGTAACAAAAACATTTGATGCAGTCACGGGAATGCATTTCTGGTTCCGTGATCCTCTTTTAAAATAGATGGCTGCAGTAATGTATGATGGTAATTACTAGATAATGTTATGATAGGGCAATAAGTTTAGGTACATCCAAGTGAGACTTAGATTACTGTAATGTCTTCCTATAGAAAGCATATATCCCAAGAAAGTTCAGATTTAATCAAGAAAAACAAGTCGTCATGTGCTATGTCAAGATGAAAACAGTAATTGTAGTCATTTGTACGTCCAAGAATGAAATAACACAGAAATTAAAATAAAAGCTAAAAACAAAAGTGCCAAATAATTTCAAGTAAAAAAAAGAAAAAAAGGGGGGTTTATTTAACATAAAAAACGCCAAGAGTGGATAAAATTTCAATACAGTAGTACCCCAATTTAAGCGGTCAATTGACCCCATGGGGTACCACGGAAAGTGAAAACCGGGTAAAGTGAACAACAGAACATATGGGATTAATTCCAATAGAGACTGGCCCGACCCCAAACTCCACTTTTTCAGACACAATACCTATGTTGTAGTAAAAATTACATCTTAATTTTATGATGGTATGCACACACAATTAATAATTAAGAGAAATATCAATAATATTAGTTTTTTTAACACTTACATTAGTAGAAAAGATGGCTGGGCACACAGGGATGGGGGGTTGGTTCCGAGGCAGAGGGCAGATTATTGGCCCTCACCTGTATCACTTGTATCACTATCCACCACATAGGCTTGCAGGGCCTCTTTATCAAACCCCTCAAAGTCCACAAAGTCCATATCCTCACTATCACTATCACTGACTTAGGCCGGCTGTGGTGGGTGGCGGGTGAAGAACTCGGTAATGTTTTGATGATTGGGCGACCTTGTGCACATCCTGCCCGCGCCGCTTCCCGCGTATATGAGTAGATGCACCGCGGAAAGTGAAAGTTCGGTTCTGGCGAGGCACCGCGTAAATGAGAAATTACGAAGAGTGTGAATGACAAGAGAAACACAGCTAACATTGGCACTGTAACTCTATTAGTACTGTAGTATTTAACCCCAAGAATCAATCAATTACACATTTTTTATTTATTTTTTTAATCTTTACAGGTAAGTAGTCGAGGCTTACTTACCTGATTGGGGGGGGTTGTGGTGTTCTTATGCTATCGTCCCTGACATTATACTCATCATACACCAACCTTATACTCATCATACACCAACCTTATACTCATCATACACCAACCTTATACTCATCATACATCAACCTTATACTCATCATACACCAACCTTATACTCATCATACATCAACCTTATACTCATCATACACCAACCTTATACTCATCATACACCAACCTTATACTCATCATACATCAACCTTATACTCATCATACACCAACCTTATACTCACCATACATCAACCTTATACTCATCATACATCAACCTTATACTCATCATACACCAACCTTATACTCATCGTACACCAACCTTATACGTACTGACATATACTCATCATACACCAACCTTATACTCATCATACACCAACCTTATACTCATCATACACCAACCTTATACTCATCATACATCAACCTTATACTCATCATACACCAACCTTATACTCATCATACATCAACCTTATACTCATCATACACCAACCTTATACTCATCATACACCAACCTTATACTCATCATACATCAACCTTATACTCATCATACACCAACCTTATACTCATCATACATCAACCTTATACTCACCATACATCAACCTTATACTCATCATACATCAACCTTATACTCATCATACATCAACCTTATACTCATCATACATCAACCTTATACTCACCATACATCAACCTTATACTCATCATACACCAACCTTATACTCATCATACATCAACCTTATACTCACCATACATCAACCTTACTCATCATACACTAACCTTATACTCATCATACACCAACCTTATACTCATCATACACCAACCTTGTACTCATCATACACCAACCTTATACTCATCATACACCAACCTTATACTCATCATACACCAACCTTATACTCATCGTACATCAACCTTATACTCATCATACACCAACCTTATACTCATCGTACACCAACCTTATACTCATCGTACACCAACCTTATACTCATCGTACACCAACCTTATATGCATCATACACCAAACCGTTACTCATCGTACACCAACCTTATACTCACCATACATCAACCTTATACTCATCATACATCAACCTTATACTCATCATACACCAACCTTATACTCATCGTACACCAACCTTATATGCATCATACACCAAACTGTTACTCATCGTACACCAACCTTATACTCACCATACACCAGCACAGCTCCAACTATCACACAAATATGAGAGACATACTTTCGCACAACTTCCGAATAACAAACAGACTTGCATCATCATCATCATCATCATCATTAGAGAAGTGGGAGAGCTACAGTATATCTTTTATTACCGTGTCTGGTACTTTATCTACGGAAGGAGGGGGAAGAGGAGAATCATTTATCAATTAAAAAACTCAACTTGGAAAAAAAAATAAAAAATACCCGAACCTTTAGATTTTAATTAATAGTTTTTTTTTTAGCTTAATTCCCATAGGGTTTAGTGAGGAATACAACCAATATGCCACATGCTGAGGTAACGTACACAACACAGCAAGCATAAATAACGGAAATATACAGGACTAGGCCGACAGAATACAAGTTATACTGTACAGAACAGCTGCATTCATTACAAAGAGAACAAATTATACAATAATATGTTTACCCGTGTCCAAAGTAACTCTTGTGGTTTTGTTTACCCATGTCCAAAGTTAACTCCTGTTGTTTATAAGCATGTCCAACTGTGATGTGTACAGTATGTCAAATAATTTCCATTATTTTTCCATCTTAGTCAGACACTGCAGTACCTATATGTAGCCACCTCGTCTAAGTTTTTCAATAGAGAAATAAAGACAGAAATGGTAGAAGACAGGGGATGTGTTGATCAGGGGCCCCGAGTACTGTACTGTACCCAGTATGGAAAATGTCATTCTTTAATATATGGAAAAGTAACTGTATAATATACTTGGCAATGATACACACAAGCAATGTTAACTTTAAAACTTTTTTTTTTTTACTTGACTACAGTAAATAATAATAATTAAAAAAGCTTGTATTGAAAGGTCAACAGGAACTTGGCCACGTGCCTTTTAAAAGTGAGATGGCTGTACAGCAGTACTGCAATTTGTATTGTGCATACTCTATATTTTTGAGAATATAGTATATTCAATATATTATAAACAAGTATAATAGAATTGTGACTTTTCACAGTCCTAAGCGGCCAGTTACTGAATACTGATTTTATCTTGCACTAAATGTTTCCCTTAGAGTTTCTATTAAATTAAAATCAAAGAATGCATTAAGGAATTTTTTTTTCTGAAAGCAAACACACCAGTTAAGATAAATAATAAGAAAGTTATCGAGTACAGCTATAACACAAAGAATAAGAACAAAATTGAAAATCAAATTTGTGGAAAAATTGAAGTAACATTCACAGTTGTATTGTCTGGCAGTCTTCAGTGTCTGTTTACTGGGTGTTGAAGATAAAGTTTGGGAAACAGATGACCTTGGTGTTTATCTACAAGAGAGACACAGAACAAAGCTCATATCCCTTCCACATAACTGGCTGTGGACAAACATCTCATCAGCTCTAACAACACAACACAGAGATTAGCATAAATGCCAGATCATAGAAGGGACGACTTCATAAAGGTGAAGAGCAAGACATGTTTTATAGTGTCTGAGTTGACAAGAACAGAAAAATTTGAAATACTGTATAAATATATTATTGGCTTATATTTTATTAAGGTAATGTTAGTGTATACAGTGTGTGCATATATACTGTATAGTATATATATATATATATATATATATATATATATATATATATATATATATATATATATATATATATATATATATATATATATATATATATATATATATATATATATATATATATATATATTAAAGAGAAAAAGAAACATATAAGATATTAGTTATACATATAAATCTGCCAAAGGAAAGATAACAATATTAGTGTGTGATTCACAGTGGCACAATACTGTATTAGTGTGGTTTATGTAGTGTGGAATATGTTTACAAGTCCATTAGTTCTTAAATCAGTTGCTAAACATTTATGAAATTGTCCCCAAATTTGCAAAGTGAGAGGCAAGTTTTCAATAATCCTCTAGCAGAAGCAGGACACACCCATGTCACGGTCACAGGCATTACAGGAGCCACAAACATTCTTGTCTATGCGAAACAAGATGACCTAAACCAACATTACCAACTCTATGACATGGACTGTGCCTCCTGCTTGTACCGGGAGACTATTAGCATTTGAGTGAATCACCCCAAGCATAGCCCAAACTGTACTGCACACCCACACATTTCCCAGTGCCTGCTGCCTCGACCTACCGGTTCGATGGAGATTGCTGGTTCCTGAGGAGGAGATATTATTAACAGATCAGCATTAATCCCAACTTTGAATTCCACCTTCGGTTTCTTTACATAATACATTTTAATGACCACCACAAGTTCTCCTGCTTTAGCTTTATACAATGTAAATTCATATCAGCTAAATACAAATATATATGTAGAAGCATGTAGGAAATATATCGTACTGAATACTGTAATCTGCCATGTTTATCTTTTCACATTAACCTAACCTAAACTGACCACCTCTACTACATATTAACTAAAACTTTATTCTAGAGAGATAAAAATTTATTAAGCATAAGAAAAAAATTTCTAAAACAAGTCTGTATTTTTTTTAATTTATAACAATATAAGTAAATCACCCCTATTCAACAAAAAGTTCCTTCCCCCATTAGCACCTAATTGGCAGATTTCATCTATTCTGTATGACATATTTGTGTGTGTGTGTGTGTGTGCAATTTTCTTTGATTGAACTCTGGGTAAAAATGCAAAAAAAATCTGATTATATTATACAGGCATTATTTAGGTAGTACCTTACCTCACATTCACCCACACTTGAGCCTCTTATGCATCAGTATTATACACAGTTCATGGTACATCTTTCTAGGTTCTGCTTTATCTCTTCTGTGTATACAGTATTCTTAAAACTTTCACTGAAACATTTTCAAAATATTTCATCTTACATCAGTATACTGTACTGTACTGTATTCAAGAAAAAACTTTGTAAGTTGCACATAACTTGAGGAAAGTATAAGTCACTTACACTGATACATCATCCTACATGAGACCTACAATAATGTGTACAGTATTTGTAGATGCACATGCCTGATACAACATTCCTGTGTGACCAACACAACCACCACTAGAGGTAATGGACCAGACATGTAATGTGAATAGTTCTCCAAAGTGACACCTTGAGGAAAGTTATTCATAACTAAATGTCCATAAACTCTATACAGATATTTTGAAGTTAATGCTAAGATAAAATACTGACCAAATGCTGAAACCAAATGTGGCTGGAAGACAACCACAATTTTATACACCGTATGTATCACTAATGCCTTCTAGTTCTTCCTCCCAAGGACTCCCCCTTGAAGGAGTGGCTGTGACAGAAAGTCCTCCAGACCACTACCTCAACATCTCTGTCCCTCATACCATCAAGCAACCTCCATCACTCCTTCCCAGGTTGCTGGTGCCTCTCTCTTACCCTGGCATTCTTTATCTCAGTCTTGTACACTCACTCTGTAATACTGTACTGTAGATACTATCATTCATAATCCTCACCCAGATGCCCCCACTATCTAAGTCCTATCTTAATCCAAATTATATCTTTGACCTCACTAACCATTCCGCATCTCATAATTACATTTCATGACTGCTGAACTTCCTCCACTTACTAATACTGTACCAAACAAACCCACACAAGAATCTTTCAACAGCCCAAATTCTATAACTCTACATTGGTGCAGGTCCGCTCTTTACTCTTTTATGTTATGGCTGAAAGAGCTTCAGTCGCTTCTCAGTCCTGTCTCTACACCAATGATTTCATTTGTACTGTTTAAAATTTCTTCAAAGGCTAAATCCCCCTATGGCAATATTATTAAAAATTAACTACAGCACTCAGGGTTTCAACTACTCGATCAAATGAAAACTAACCAAGATATTATGAGAATAACTGCCCCCCCCTCCCTATTTTAAGAAGGTGACCACATACAGACCCTTCTTAGTACAGTACCTACACCATCATCACTACACACCATCTCTATCATTCTACCCTCCACCCTTAGAAAAAACCAACACCAAAACACAAAATATTTCCTGACAAATGAATATTTGTATTACAACAGCAACATTCTCCTCGCTTGTGGGAGACCTCGCATGTCAACAAGCGAAGACATCGTTGTTGTTGTCATACTGTACAAGAATTCATGCAATCTCCACAAAGTCACATACCGGTAGGTGGAAAAGTCCACTCAGCAGCCTGTAATGAAGTGCTTATGGTACAGTATACAATAACATGAACCATTACTACATTACTAGGTGTTGCAGAGGACCTAAAGCACATCTGTCTGTGCTCAATACCTGCCAACAATGAGAGCCTGAGAAGGAAGTGCCCATCAGGTTGGCTGGTAAGTTGGTAAGTACCGTACAGCAGAGAATATTAGAGAGAATTTGTAAAACTAATAGTTGGTAAAGTAACAGTTTGTTAAGTATAACTAACCACTAAGGACAGTTGTAGAGTGAGCTGGATCATTAAGAACTATTGCAAGAATAAAAGACTACCAAGAGCTATTGCAAGAATAAAACAGATCACCAAGAACTATTGCAAGGATAAAACAGATCACCAAGAACTATTGCAAGAATAAAACAGATCACCAAGAACTATTGCAAGAATAAAACAGATCACCAAGAACTATTGCAAGAATAAAACAGATCACCAAGAACTATTGCAAGAATAAAACAGATCACCAAGAACTATTGCAAGAATAAAACAGATCACCAAGAACTATTGCAGTGAAACATTTCCACAGTGTTGATGCACCTGCATTCTGAAATCACAAACATTTAATACAATCAACCAATTCCAGAGTTAGTTCAGCATTGCAAAAATCCTCCAGTACACTGTACTGTATACATTTCTCATCATAATCTTTTTCAGTACACCAAAACCAAAAAGCTTCTTAGGATAACTTGGTAAGTAACACACACCTGAAGCTTCCATAGCTCCAACTTCACCTCAACCTCTCTCACTAGTTCCAATAATAATCCTTCATACTGATGTACCAACAACTTAAGAGCACAATACTGTATTATTATTTATAGATCAAGGCATTAATAAAACCCTTGTGGATTGCTGAGGTCGAATACAATGAACCATTGTTTATACAGTCGATGACTTGTTAGCATTTAATGAATACAGGAATTCTTTTTATTAAATGTGCATCTCCACATAAATACACTTTTTGCTTGGTCATAATGTTCCAGAATCACCACTTTATGTCCCTAGTATTTAAAATAAATACTTAATATATTTCTTAACAATTACCATACTGTTCTTCACGATGACAAAAGATGGCAGCAGTAAAGGCTCTTCTTTCTGCAGACCAAAAGTGAACATCCAACTAAGTTTCTAAATTACTGGTACTTGGAATATTTTGGTAGCCTCCAACTTCATCATAGGCAAGGGTTAAAAAGCAATAATTGGGTGAAAACTTGTACAACCAGACATACACAGTCACACACAAAAAGATGTAAACATACAAAAATAAAAACAAACACACACACATACATGTTTTTAAATCCATATCTGACCACAATAAAGTATTTTCCAAGTTAACGAAATTATTTTCATTTATATTAATAATGTAATGCTAATGTATTATACCTTCATGATATTATGAGAATAGATGTTTTGTTCTACTAAATTATATAAACTGTAGCTACTGTATACATGTACACAACACACAAACAAAAGCACAACTGATGTAACATAATGCGTGTACTGTACTCTACTATAGTTACTCATACCATCATTAATACAAGCTGGTGCATGTCAAACCTGAATTTTTTTTCAAAGAATTTAAAATTGTAAAGGCAGAAACAACAAACTTGCCCTACTTCTCCAGAGAGTCTGTCTGAACAGCATGTTTCTCATCACTGTACAGTACCAGCCCCTTAATACCTGCACTGTGGAAGGACTTGTCCCTGTTTGAGCCACTTCAGGACCCTCACACAGCTCATAACACCACAATCAACCTATAGAATTTTGGGCAGAGAGGTTCTCTCCCATACTCCCTCTGCCCCTTGTAATTTCCAGGTTAATAAGAGGACATCCAAGTGGACAGCGTTTACAGTTTAACAATAGTTTTGAAATGGTTCGGAGGAACAAATCCTTCTACACTACAGGCACTGAGGCACTTGCAATATCAGTGAGGTAAATGTTGCATTGTCCAGGTAGGTTATGTGGAGAGACAGAGGTAATACACTAGGATGATCTGTCTTGATAATCCAGACTTCTAAGAACTAAAGCCCAGGAATAACTTAAATCTGTCTCATAAATGTCAGATCTGAAGAATATTTATGGTAAACTTGTATTACTTGTATATTCTGTACAAAAACGTTTTCCTATGTAGAAGGAGAAGACTTTTGAACCATATACACCAAGTTAATATTCAATTAGCAGTATTATATAGAAACTTTACATGAGATACTTCATTATCCTGTAACCCATTATTTCTTTACTAAAGCATTAACACTACTGTACAGAGACTACATACTATATACTCATTATAAGTAATTCACCTGCATTCTCAGTTTCACATTAATGAAAGTGCACAATGATAAATACAGTATACTGTATTATAAACAGGAGAATGACACCGTGTTCAACCCCAAAGGAACTACTGTACCCTGATTTGCACTTACATGCTAATAAACAGTTCAACAGACTGGAGCCTTGCAAATGTTTGTCTTCCATCACACAAAGATGTTGAAACCTTTTCAATCAACATTTAAGTTATTTTAAAACTATGGTTGACAGGTTGTGCATCAATTACTTTGTTGCTAAATTTCTACTACTTTTTTAGTTTCTTCATCAATCAGTCAATTTCTTATCAGTCAGTCAAGTGCAAAGGTGCAATTATCATGCAAGACTACAGACCTGCAGAGGTTATCTAAATACTTTATCCACACAACTTAAAAACTTGTTTAAATAATACAGTAGAGAGCATTAATAAAAAAAAGATAAGAAAAGAAAAAAGTTCATCAATTCCACAATATGTCAAACATCTACTTTTCCCCAAATCATGGATGACTATCAGAGTAGAGACAGCAGAGGGTCGCCCTTGGTGGACCTACGTACCTTCTCCATCATTCCTGGCTTCCGGTCAGGCTTGTAACATAGCAGATACAATACAAAATTTATGTCTCTCCATTTCAATATTTTATATACATATTATTATCCATTTAATTCACATATAAATGAGATATATCCATTTTATCAGAAGTAATAAAAACAAGTTGAAAGTACCAGAAACATTTCAGTTACACTTTCCATAACTGACAAACTAACCAACATCAAATAACATCAACAGAACTGTATCATGCAGAGTTAACACACATGCTAACATATCTTGTCATTATGCTTATGCTGTCTTCAATTTTATGTATGCATTTTCAGATACCGTTTTAAATAAATTTTTACCAAGTATAAATATTTATCCCATATTATTCAAGAAAATAACCTGGAAAGAAATAGAGCCTCAGTTGCCTCAAAAAAAACTGAGGGAAGTCATCATGAATTATTACTCATATAGTACAGTACTGCATACCTAAGTCTTATGACCTGTTGTAATAATAATAATAATAATAATAATAATAATAATAATAACAATAATAATAATAATAATAATAATAATAATAATAATAATAATAATAATAATAATAATAATAATAATAATAATAATAATAATAATAGAAAAATAATAATAAGAGTAAAATCTGCTGTTCAGTGTACAGTACAGTATTAGTACAGTACGGTAGGTCTATTCTGTACACCTAACAAACAAAAAAATACATCTTCATGTCTTACTAACATGATTTTCCCTCGACATATTAATTCACCTCTGAGAGTAATGTACCTGTAGTGTTAATATTTCATCAAGTGATCCCCAGAAGCCTAAAACACATTATTAACATCACCGTAAAGACAACCTCTAACTGTTCTAAAAATATTGACATGTACGGTAAGAGAGAGAGAGTGCACACGAGAGAGACTGTGGTTAGGTGTCAAAATATGAGAGTCCATTTTCCATATAACATTCACATCAAAGGCCCTCTTGATCTAAGACGTCAAGAAGCTCCGGTATGAGTCATTATACAGTAAAGATTTTAATTATATCAGTGGATCATTATTTAACTCAACTTTTCAACTACAGGTATTTGTTAATCATAAAACACAAAAGGTACAGTATTCATCATTTTGAAACACATGTATTAATCATTCACTGAATATTTTCTCCAGTTTGTTTGGGTCTCCTACATAAAAACATCTAGTGAAAAGTCTTTACTCTAATAAATAACTTCATCCTATTTGTAATTTCTCTCCATATGATACGCCTCATCTTTAAAATATACATTCCATCTATCCTGTTATTCCTCCTTTCATTCTCTACTTTAGGGGAGGGGGGGGGGGATGTTGGGTAGAGAGACAACTAAACATAAGCCGCTGAAACAAACACGTAGAATCACACTCGTACATTAAATAACTAAATGAGAATAAATAAATACAGAGAAGTCTCCCAGTTGTTGAGCCTCTGTTAATGTTTCTCTCATCCATAGTTTCAACATACTGGTGTACTCTCTCACAGGCCTCCATTACCCCACACTATTTTAATCTTTCATTTTTTAATCAGCTTTTATCACCCTAACTTACTATATTAACCCTTTCTATATATATCAAGTCTATATTTACTCTCCCTTCAGCCATCCTCTCTATAATCAAACCTCTCCACATATTTTACATTAAACATCCATATTAAATTTAAACTCTCTACATATCTACAATATAATTTCCAGAATGTCTAAATTTTGTCATATTATCACTTCTTTTATCCCACTTCTTATATATCCTGTACTATCTCTCTCTCTCTCTCTCTCTGTTTATATTTAGAATATTATCTAAATTGTCTATATTTACTCTCTCTACATGATAACATGGTACAGTACTACATATATACTGTACCATAATTTTCTAAGTGTTTTTTCCCTTTGCTCTCTATTCCTTCCTCTTCCTCTAATTCCATCTGTTCTAGCATCCTTCATGTTTCAGTTTCCACACACTCACAGGCTCAGTTTATGTCAATTATATACTATAGTAATCATCAACTAACACATGACTGTAAAGTACATGAAAGATAAAATACTTACACTTTAACCCCTTGTGTACAGCCAGTATAGAAACTTACTAAAATAATCGTCTGATATTAGCTAAAGAAAGTAGTAGAAGTGGTGTTCCCATAGTGAAGGGGTTAATGAGGAATGTGAGTCTACTTTGAATTTATCTTCATTATATAAAATACAAGTACTGTACATACAATACTGTATAGTTTAAGTAAGCATAGTGTCTTTCACCGGATACCCTGTATTTGAAAAACTCTATTGTGAAATTCCCTCAAAATTTGTTAGCATTACAGGTGTCCCTCTTTACATGCATTACCTTTACAATCAAACTCATTATTACTGTACAATACAAGACACGCATTCTAATAAAGTAGTACATCACTTTTACTAGACTAATTTTTAACGTTCAATGGTCCAGAACAGAGGAAATTGTTTACAATCCAGCTCCGTGCTTCAACAAAACTCTCCAGTAATTTCTTGAATTTTCCAAATGATTTACCCTATATAGAGATGTGAGGGAAGTGACCAGCAAGTGAAATGAGCAGCAGTAGTAGTACTGTACCCCTAGTGGTAAGTAACCCCACAGAGCCATTACTTTAGATGTCAAGTTGGAGGTGATAAGGTACATTGAGATTGACGAGAAGATGATGGCTTATCTAAACTGTGCTATAAAGTGGAATTTTATTTCTTGTTGGATATTTTTTGAGGAAAATATCTCACAATTCATAAAGGTAATCAATAGATAAATATGATTCACCTTATGATTACTGTATTCAAGTCAATATTAGGGTTTCGGGAACACAACGAAGATAAACCTGTACACTAAGCAACACTAATGTCTCAAGTACTCTGAAAAGTTGACTATCTCCTCATCTATATGGCAACTCACACAGCTCAGTCTGCCATAATTACTGCTGCCACATTACAAACATACAGTGTGATGTACTTAGTGTATCTATATGTGTAGGCACAGTGTTTACTCTGTAGTTCTTATTCTCATATCAGTCTAGTCTTATGATGTTTCAGATATGCAGGAGTCCAGTAACTTGACATACTACTATAATCTGGTGCTTAATGTGAGCATTGACTCCAGTATTGTAGTATAATAACTTCTGTGTTGTAGATCATTTAATGACATACTGTACTGACCATACTTTGTCCTCTTTTTACATTAATCTGAGGAACACTTTTACTTTGTTTTGATGAACCCCAAACAGTCTTAAAAACTGCAACTGTACACATGGGCTTTAAATATCACATACATATACAGTATCACTTTCTGTCTAAAATACAAAAATGCATTTAAAGAGCATTTACCCTGAGGAGCAGCAGTGTGGCCACAATTACAACAAATCTTTATGGATATAGTTAGTCTATGCATCACAGAAACTAAAAAAACAGTCAATGAGATAAAAGAATAGAGGTTGTGTTTTAGTATTAAAACAGAGTACAGTATATAATAAGAAAGTTTCTATCCTTCACTTACTTTACCTATTATTTCATAACAAATTCAACCTTTCAAAGTAAACTAAATGTATCCTAAAAAGTAAACACTTGTAAGAGTGTTTGGTTAACAAAGAACGAAGTATGCAAAGGGCCAAGTTTGTTTTCCTGTACATGTCATAGGGTACTGTACTGCCCCCAAAACACACAATTGTCTCCTTTTTCTAACAAGTAATCAAGATAAATACAGTATATCATCAAGCTGAGACTAGTTCTTCAAAGACAAATAATAAATCAAGTTACAACGCACTAAGTCATCAGCAACGACTGACCACCTCCAACCAAACACAACCCTAATAAACATATGGATACCCGTACTAACCCACGATATTAAACCAGATCAGAATACAAAACAACTTACTTAGGGAGCATAGACTATCTCGCCTACATGCCAAGTATGAATTAAATGAAGTTATGCTTGTCTATGGAATGGCTGTGAACAAATGGATAGAGGGGGGCAACCAAATCCATTGCCTCTGTCCTGTGGTAACACCTAGCTAGAGGGATACATTTCAAAGTGCAATCTAACAAAAGCCTCTACACATTTCTGTATAAATCAGGTTAAATAAGAGTCCACCCACCAAAGAAGTGAGAAAGTGATAAAACGACATCAGTAACTCGAGAGGAACTGTAACACCACAACTCAATAGCTATAAATACCTTTTCTCTAACAAGGTCTACCACTGTCTTCAACCTAGTACAGTAAATAGCTACAATGAATCATCAAGTACGTACAACGCGAGCCTTGAACTGTACACACATAAGAACACTTCATTAACGGTTACCAGTCTGTTTTATAATTCCTCTTAACTACACATTATACAGTTAAAGAAACATGATTACCCATATGGACCCTAAAAATTAAGATGTGAATGCAGAGACATCTCCTGTTTCCCTTCATGGAGCTAAAACATCACATTATATATCTGGGAAAGTTTCTGGGGATTCTGGGAAAGTTTCATATGTTTTTGTAAGTTCCCAGAGCCTTATTTATGAAGAGGAACATGTTAATACTACAATCAAGAACTACATCAGTCAACATACTCAAGAAATAAGGCATAGCATCCGCCTCACTTGGTGGTACACTACACGGTTGACGGAGATTAGTATGTTAGTTATATTACAGAGAGAGATATACCTGTACCTGCATAATACCAAATACAATCATACCAGGTTTGTGATATGTGATACTCATTAACAAATACAGTAGTAAAAATAATCTCAGCATAAAAGTATATTAAGTGATATGAAAGTAACTAAGAGGATATTGACACCTCTTTTGATAATTGTCTCTGGTTTTGTGCATTGCAATGTTATAAAATATTCTTCTGGCAAATTCACTACTACACGTTTCACAATTTCCACACACCACTCACAGTCCTCCACCATTCAAGTAGTTTTATCAATTCTTTGCTTTTCCCTAAAAATTCTGTACTAATAATTATACACACAAATTATCCTTCTCATTTACCAATAATTTCTTTGTTCATGGACCTATTTTGTGCTTTTTCCCCAATCAAATTTCATTCTAGCAACAAATACAGTATTACAGATCACCTGCATTCATAACAAACATTCTATTAGATATTATTATATATAGTGTAATTCAGGCTAATTTTCCATTTCCATTTACTGTTGATTTAAAACTACTGTATCTCCACACCCAGTCCAGGCCTGATCACAGTAGTTGACCATAATCACACACTATATTCCCCTAATGTGTCAATCATCCTTAACTTGTATTTTTCTACCTCATTATATATTGAAGCTTCCCAGAGAAAAAAACAAAGTTACAAATTTTGGTTCTGAAAATCAACTCAACTGTATCACATAATTAGATGCTGAGATATATTTTTATTGACAAATATTACATTATTATTTCTAGAATTTAACTACAGTACTATAAGTTTTCTACTCCTTCAGTAGCTACAAGCAAATGTTACTCCTACATGATGAACAGTATATACTCCACAAACCTCTAACCTTGAATTTGGAAAGTTATTTTGCCAGAGGTTAAAACCCGCCTTTACCAAACTACCAACATAATACCTGCCTGTACAAAATTGGTTATTTGGCTAAACACCTGTATATTAATATGTGTTACTATACATTATTACTGAAGATGTAGTACAGTATACAGTACAGTACTCTGAAATGTTTTATATCTGAAGTTACTAAAACAGGATTAGATTATGAACTAACTACAGTATACAGATGCTATAAGTGTCAGCAACAAGTTTTAAAAAATTTCACTGTGCATCATCATCTGTGGTCAGTAACAGAGTGAAGTATGGAGTAGTTGAGACTTACCCTGTTGAAGCTGGGGTGGTAGCCGAGACAGAAGGGCGACTTCTTGTTGTACTTCCTGATCGTCTCCAACAGATTTTTACTTTCCGGAACCCTGTTTGCTACAACCATGAACGCGCCATCATATACCTTCAGATCACGTTCCAAACATCTATTATCACTCTCGATCTGCAACAATGAGTTGCCCGCTGCAAGAAATTGAGATATATAACTGTAGCTTTAGCGGGGAGTCACCATGATGTTTGTTCTCTTTATGCCCACTTTGTCTACGCCCATTATATCTACTCTGAAAATGTCACATACAGTATTCCCAAAAATGTCTACCGTCAGTTAATGATGAACTGACGTGACCTATTAAAACCCCTTGAAATAAATAAATCCTTTCTCTATCTACCTACAGTACTAAAATAAAAATAAATTAATCATCTAGTTACCTCCTCACTGGAAAAAAAATGGTGCAAATCTGACTGTGGGATAGAAGCAAGCATGGCACCATCACACACATACCCCATATATAGCTGTGCCAGTCGTTGGGCATGTACTCCTCCCGCTCCACGAAGAGCAGCACGTACTCCTTCCTCCTCTCCTTCAGCGTGAAGATGCCCGTCATGGCCATTACCGTCAACAGCTCATTTACAAGATTTCGATGACCGATGAACACATAAACTGAGGGGAGAGATGGATAGATAGATAGATAGATAAGCCGAAATAGACAGAGATAAGTAGATAGATAGACAGATAGATAGTTAGATAGGTAGGTAGGTGGGTGGGTAGGTAGATACATGGATAGATATATATATATACAGTATATGTACTGTATATAGTCAAATCCTAATACAAGTTTACTTTGATTCAACATGTATATAAACAATACTCTGCACAAGTATACAATAAACCTACATATCTTAAGGTTTTTATACAACATTCCCTCACAGAAATCACAAACATAGGAGGTTAATACTAAAATATTCATCGTCAGAAAAAAATGTATAGTGAAAACTTATGAGAAACAGATGAACCAAAACACATAATGATCTTTCAATAACGTTTAGTTTTTGTGGCTGTAACATTTATAATTATGCTTATTTCATTTATTTTTTGCAAGTCTTATACTCCTTACAATGCCATGGCAAAGTAGTGTTTTTTTTTTTTCAGCACATGCTTATTTTAGCACTACATAATATTTTTGCACCGGTGTGAATGAAATAATAATAATAATAATAATAATAATAATAATAATAATAATAATAATGATAATAATAATCACATTTATTAGTTATAATAAAAATAATACTAATACCACCCAAGCTTATTTCACCTCAAGATTCCCCTAAGCTATTTTTATTATTCAAAGTAATTTCGTGTCATTCATCATCTACCCCTTCATTCTATTGGTCTGTCTCACTGTCACTGACTTACTCCTCGTCTCATTCTTGGTCTCCTGAAAGATGGTGTGGAGGTGCTCAGTATTATACTGTATCTCATGGTTGATGGTCATATTCTCCTTGGAGGCTTCCTCCTTCAGGGTCTCCATCATGCTGTGTTGGCCGTCGCTGTAGATAATGGAGAACTTACTCCAGTTGTTGTGTCGCAGCGTCGCCACCGTTGTCTTGATGATCTGTGTGAGTGAAGGGGAGGGAGGGTGAGTTGGTGTAGTACTGTGGTGACTTTCTATCTATCAATATATTTAACTTTCTTTCTCTTTATCATTACACCTGACGTTTCTCTCGCTCTATCACTCACATATTTCTCCGAAGGGTTTGTCCTGGCGAAGGTGGTGAATCGGGAGGCCCGCTCATTGCTGCACCCCTGTGAAGAAAAACTCTTAATAATAACAACAATATTGATGATAAGAATTCATGATAGCAATGGCAAAACTGTGCGGCTTTTATCGAAACTGAAATGTAGTGATAAAAGAAGAAACGAGAGCTCTCAAATTTTTAATACCTGAAGACACCCAGAACCTCACCACCTGTCAAAATATATCTTAATAATAATAATAATAATAATAATAATAATAATCCAATAGGCACATGGCCAAATAATCGGACCAGTGAACATGTCCCTTATGGGTAATAATGGCATTCGAATCCCGTAGACTTTTGGGATTTACGACGTCTTGCAATTCGAAACTAAAGTAGAAATTTAGAAGAAAAAAAATAAAGTGAATAATAAAAGTTTGGGGAGGAGGGTGTGTCAGTGTAATAGTCACAGCATGTTAGGGGAGGAGGGTGTCAGTGTAACAGTCACAGCATGTTAGGGGAGGAAGGTGTCAGTGTAACAGCCACAGTATATTAGAGGAGGAAGGTGTGTCAGTGTAACATCCACAGTATATTAGGGGAGGAAGGTGTGTCAGTGTAACAAGGAGGAGGGTGTGTCAGTGTAATAGTCACAGCATGTTAGGGGAGGATGGTGTGTCAGTGTAACAGCCACAGTATATTAGGGGAGGAAGGTGTGTCAGTGTAACAAGGAGGAGGGTGTGTCAGTGTAATAGTCACAGCATGTTAGGGGAGGAGGTGTGTCAGTGTAACAGCCACAGCATGTTAGGGGAGGAGGGTGTCAGTGTAACAGCCACAGGAGGAGGGTGTGTCAGTGTAACAGGGGGAGGGGTGTCAGTGTAACAGGAGGGTGTCAGTGTAACAAGGAGGAGGGTGTGTCAGTGTAATAGTCACAGCATGTTAGGGGAGGATGGTGTGTCAGTGTAACAGCCACAGTATATTAGGGGAGGAAGGTGTGTCAGTGTAACAGCCACAACATGTTAGGAGAGACAGGCATATCCAAATTTCGTTCCAGATATAGAAATTATACCAGACAGATAAAAGAATACAGTATTATTATTACTGTTATTATTTAATTACATTTTCTGTAATTTACGTATATATATATAAATAAAATAATAAATAAATATACTGTAATTAATAAATATTGAAGTGATAACCGTGGTAACATTATGAGATGTTCTTATTACCGCCATGCTATTGTACTATTCCAGATGTTACTAAATGTTACATAATACTTCCTTGAGATAAATGAATAGTATATATCAGGTGCCTAAAAGAGAGCTCAGGTTCTCAAATGGCTCAGCCATGGTAATATTGTTATTATTATCCACTCTGTATCTGTGTTTTTCTGGCTAAATAAACTGTTTCAATCCAATTCAAAGAAGGAAAAAATTGAAAATAGCTTCTCAACATTCTAAAATTCCAATTTTTCTGATGTTTCGGCCCATACAATTTTTTTTTTTTACAAATAATATCTAGAACACCATTAGTTACACTCATCATTGATTCAAGTTTTTTATTAAGGGCGTAAGTTGGTCCGCCCCGCCTATGCTGATTTTAGTGATGGATGCTTGTCGGGCATGAGGGATTACCTTTTGGACGGCTGAATGCGGTCATGGCCAATTACAGGGTTGGGGGTGAGGGGTAGGAGAGAGGGTGAGGAGTGAGAGGGGAGGTGAGAGGAAGGGGCGGGAGCCTACTTTGTCAGGCATCGCGAGCACTTGAGATGAAACGCCTGGCCAAATAAACGTCATAACCAGGGCTGCCAATCTCCCCATCACGCACACATCAACAAACACACACTCTACTCAACAACCTCCATCACCCAGTCTCTCCTACTCTTATTTATTATCTCTATTTAATGATAGTGACCGTCCATCCTTGAAAGGGGATGATGATAATGCGTTTTGATAATTGGGTGCGTGGGTGATGCGGTTGGCAGGGGTGTTGGGCACGCGTCGCCGGGCTAGGGAATGAAAGCTTTGAAAATATCGTTAACTCCTATGATCTCGCCCTGGGTTAAGTGGGGTCATGCGGTCAAAAAGGTCACACCCCCCCACTTGACCTAACAGGTCATTAAATAGTTAAACGAGAGGCGTTGAGTTTTTTCTTATACATTACATGTCTCAATAGTATATTGCAGTGGCGGGATTTTTGTCAAAGTGAAGAATTGTTGGACAGGATTTTGTCAGTTCCTCCCACCCATATTCACCACTCATATCCTCGGAAGTCAAAAGGCATGAAAATTTTGTTGAGGTGAGACGTCAATGTCACCTTTATATTCACTATACGACATTATGCCTTGGCTTCATGTCAAGATATATAAATAAGCAAATAATTTTTAATAATATGACCTTCAAGAGGATTTGTAGACAGTTGACACACACACACACATGTACGTATATAGTCACGTGGATAGATATACACACACACATGACCAGCATAAGTTCAGATGTGACCAACAACTGGATGATGATATACTAATCATTTCGCTTTTCAGCGTGTAAATAAATACGAGACATCTTTCCATATTTTGTTTCTTCATATTAAAAAAATCTAATATTAAAAAAATATCTATATTTTAAAGTTATTGGCAAATTAGGAAAAGCGTAACTATTTTTTTACTTTATATCTAAACAGCCAATTTTCATAGCTATCTCGTTACAATTATCGACACGAACAAATTATACTAATCAGACAGAATATCAAATAGTATTAATAATTGCCCAGACCAAAATCAGAGTGAACCTCGTCACTTCCACCTGTTGGAAACTATATGCTAATGAATTCACACGCGATAATTCACGCTGGGTTGTACGAAAGTGTTGGAGGGCGGGAGACAGGGAAGGCTATTATTAAGTGTCGGCTCTCGCAAAAGAAGCCTATGATATACGTTGTTTATTATGTGGGAAGAGTCATGTTGGAGGTGCTGGCTAACGAAAACAAGTGTTTAATAATATGCCTTGAGTATCCAACAGTATTACGAGTATGTTGTGTTATGGGTTTGCCCGGCAGCGATGTAAGCCACCAGCCCTTGTTGCCTCCACAGCCCCCCAACGTCTCTATCACCCACTCCACTGCTCTCAAAAACAATTAATCATGTTATAAAACAACTCTCCTCTCTTACTACGTGCGATCATATGTTTTTGAAGGGAGTTAATGTAAGTGTATCGGGTGTTAAGTTCAACAGGGCGGGTGAAGTGGATCAAGAGGGTGTTTGGGTTAGTGGCGCGCTTGTTTGGCAGCACTCAAGACTTACCACGAGTACCAAGTTCTTCTCGCCTTTCTGGGCTAACACTATCCTGCATACTAGTCCAGTACTCTGCATACTAGCCCAGTGCCATGCATACTAACCCTGTACCCTGCATACTAACCCTGTACCCTGCATACTAACCCTGTACCCTGCATACTGGCACTGTACCATGCATACTAACCCTGTACCCTGCATACTAGCACTGTACCCTGCATACTAACCCTGTACCCTGCATACTAGCACTGTACCCTGCATACTAACCCTGTACCCTACATACTAGCCCCTGTACCTACATACTAGCCCTGTACCCTACATACTAGCCCTGTATATACTAACCCTGTACCTGCTTACTAACCCTGTACCTTATACTAACCCTGTACCCCTACTAACCTGTACCCTGCATACTTTCCCTGCATACTAACCCTGTAGCACTGCATACTAACCCCACCTTACCCCTGTACCCTGTACATACTAACCCTGTACCCTGCATACTAGCACTGTACCCTGCATACTAACCCTGTACCCTGCATACTAACCCTGTACCCTGCATACTAGCACTGTACCCTGCATACTAACCCTGTACCCTGCATACTAACCCTGTACCCTGCATACTAACCCTGTACCCTGCATACTAACCCTGCATACTAACACTGTACCTACTAACCTTGGACAATCACTAGTTTTGGATCTATTATCAGTGCCGGATTTAGACCTGTGGAGGCCCATGGGCAGCCTCTTTGTGGAGGCCCCCCTCATTATAACTACCCAAGAGGGTGGGGTGGCGAGTGAAGCGAGCCTAAACATCTGGGAGTTCCGGGGGCGCTGTAAGCCCCCCGGGAAAATTTTGAAATTTGAACACTTGTTTGGAGAATTTTGAAGCCATATGCAGTTATATTGAGGAAATTAGAACATTGAGAAATTTTTAATTAACTATATATTGATAGAGTACAAATTACCAACACACATACACAAAAGTGAGACATGACTGGAGTCATTCATGTGGTTTCAAGTCGACCAGCCCTGATATAGCTACTATCGCACATGTCAAAAATTTTCAAGAGATTTCACAGAAAAGAATATATTATTAGTTATTACAGAGAGATGATTCTTTGCATTATTCATGAATTTCAAGGAGTAGCTAGCCTTATTTCTATCACGCTTCTTGCTGAACATAGTTTTACGTGGTGGAATAGATAAACATGAATTTTAAAGAATGAAAATAAAAATAATCCAAATGAATAAACAAATAAATAAAATATTGTAATATGTAGAGGCCCCCAGATTGTGGAGGCCCCTGGGCAGCTGCCCACTTTGCCCACTCCTGAATCCGGCCCTGTCTATTATGACTCGTAATAATTAAAGTACCTCAATAGATTTTAACTATTCAATTATGGTCGAGTCTGTAATTTCGAAGGCATTTTATCCCGCCAATTTGGTACCACAGTTTGGCTAGTTAATAATGAGAACACAAAACCAGTACTCGTATATAATACCTTATGGTATTTTCCCACGAGTAAAATTCCGATTATCAACAGACAAAGTCCCACGAATTTAAGGTTTAATTTCTGGTAAAAATTTACCTGGGAGGTGGGATTTCATTTATTCACGCAATACATTTGGTAGTGGGTCTTCGTAGTAAAAAAAAATGTCTGGTGGGATTGTGGATTTTAGTAATGCGAGTCTGCCTCAGTGGAATTTTTTACGTCAAGATTCTGTCCAGTAAGGAAATCTGGAAAGGGATTTGGCCGTGTGAAATCTATCTGGTGGAAGATTTTGCCCACGCAACCTACCCCAGGAGGAGGAGAGGGAGGGAGTCACAGGCTCACAGCAGCACCTCATGAACTTACTGCACCGGCCGCCATAAGAACAACTGGCCACGTCTGGCTATTTTTAGCCGGCCAGCACCCCGGACGCCGACGTCGCCACCACCGCCTCTCTCAGCTAAATAACTCCCGCCTTCCAGTCTTCCCTCCCTAGTAAACCATCAGAACTAGGAAGTGTCTGCTACGTTATCTAGAGCATCAAGAACATCGACTGTGTGTGTAAGAGGACGTATTAACCGGGTGTGTATTTGTAGTCTCACATAAACGAAAGCATTTACTACATGTGGAAAGGAAGGTTGCCACGCCGACATTTTCGTCTTCCACTGGTTGGGAGGGATAGCATTACGTCACTCTTAATAAAGAAATTCATTCGGGATACCCACGTGACTTATGGGTCGACGCTAAGGTTAACTACAATACTCGAAAGTCTGAAGATGGTTGTACTTGACGCTCGGTGATAAACATGTCAAAATAGATGGAGCTGATAGCGTGTGATTTGACTTTTTAAATGTTGACATCTGAAGCCTCAAACCTGCTATTCCCAGCACAGGATCAGGTTCACTGACATCTAATACGTATACAGGTTTCCAAGCAATAAAGTAGATGGTAATACAGGAGAGTATTTATATCAATCAGACAGATAATAATAATGAGTTAGTATATGAGCGCCACATGTTGGCAAGAGTTTCTGGTTACCGTAACAGTGGTGACCTTCAACACCCGCTGTACGATAATACTCCTTAAGTCGGAGGTCATAATATACACTATCCCTTCTTCCTAACTAAATTAATTTCCCATACCCGAATACTTGATCGTAAATATCAGACTCGAGATATATATTATGATAAGAAGTACTTCAGTGGGGCGGAAGTAAATAAATCTATGATGACTAAATACGTTAACACCTTTGCTACAAATTAATTAAATTCCAGCGATGGTGTCATGCGGTTTTGCTTATTTTATTACACTGGACATACTTAGTGACTCAGGGTTTTGTGCGTCTATTTATAGTACTGGGTGGTTAGTTTTAGTTTAATGCGGGCGGGGATTTTTCCAGAAGGCTGGACAAAGGCCGGCCGCCGCCGTCCACCTTACATAAACATGAAGCTGACGCCAACTTCACACAATATGGACGACCGGACACTCACCAGTAAAAAGCTGCCTCCGATGGTCACCTTCCCAATATATTAATACACGCTCCACACAGTACATTAACTCCAGTGGTTATTGCTTATCACGTGAGCATCACCTGTCTCACTGTCCAATGCCTGCTGCACCGAAGGATATTCACAAGCTCCCAACACGACTCGGTAATCATAGGACTGCAGGATACTCAAGTTGGATATTAATAGGTACGATAGGATATACCAAAACACGACAGGATATCGCCGTAGGAAGGATATCACGACAACTATATGCAGTATAATGGTCTAGGTCATCTCAAACACGGCAGGATGACCTCACAAGAACAAGGATAAGTCATAATTGACACTGCAGGATACTCACGTAGGATATCATGGGTAGGTTCTTGCCCTGGGCGATGGTTCCTTCGACGTAACAGGTGTGCTCGGGGCCGAAGATGGCAGAGACGCCCTTACACAACAAGTCTACCACGGATTTGCTCCCTAAATCCTCCAGCCCTTCGGTGTCGTGGACCTGAAACAAACCATGAGGGACTGTTATAATAATGGGAGAAGAGAAGACTAAGATGAGAAGAGAAGGGAGAGGAAAAAAGGACGAACTGAACCAAAAACAGAATAATAAGAAGAGGGGGACAGGGAGAAGAAGAGAAGGAAGAGGAGCAGCAGAAGAAAAAAAGAAGACAAAATAAACCAAAATAAAAGAACAAGAACAAAGAGAAAACAATAACAAAAGAGTATCAATCACCTCAAACCTCATCTGGTAATTCTCAGGTAGGACGGATCTGTTGTTGACATCTTCCACGGCGTAGGAGAAGGCACCGGGGATCTTGAGTCCTAACCTCTCCCTCATTTTCCCCAGCCGCGTCAGTAGGAACCCCACCAGGATGCTCTTGGTATTGTTCTGTTGAGAGTAAGAGGGTCATAAGTCAATACTAGGGTTGTTTATGTCCAGAGGGAAATGATCTGGTGGATGTTATGTCCAGTGGGAAATGATCTGGTGGATGTTATGTCCAGTGGGAAATAATCTGGTGGGGGTTATGTCAAAGTATACTCACGTCAAATTTAGGCCACTCGTTTGTCTGAACACACGCAGTAGTCCAGTTGGCAGCGTGTTCGGTTTCGTTGATAGTACCTCGCACCGTGTTGAAGGTGCCCTCATCTAACATAGGGGACACGTAGGAACGGAGGCTGGAGGAAATAGTGTTGGTGGAGGGGTCGTCGTCAAGACTGGGAGAGGCGGAGGTGGTGGAGATGGTGTAGGTAGTATTGGCCTGGGATGTCACCCCTGAGGTACCCCACACCAATGTTAACAATACAAGGCACAGGACATAGACACCCGAGTTATGAGAACTTCGCCGGGGTGATGGTAGTGTGCTTGTGAGTCGTGGTGGTGGTGGTGGGCGTTTTCTTCCTCCCCGTCCTCCTTCTTTTCCTCCACCACCATCCCATCCCCACATCACCCACCAACACCGCCCATGCGCCCCCATCACCACGCCTGCAGCAGTACCTGAAGAGAAGACACGGACATAACATCAAGGGGTTTAGTTTGAGTCGAAGTGGTAATGTATGTGTGTGTGTCTTGTGAATACCACCAACACACACACACACACACACACACGACCATCCACTGTACACGAGGAGGCTTCATGTCGTCATAGGAGCCTACAGCGCTGGTGAACATCCTGTACTATAGATAACGCTAGCCAGAAATAGACTCCTTATCTCCCAGCGCTGACTATCTTTGGAGTTCACTGTTAGAGTCTACATCATGGGAAACACCACACATAAACAAACACACACAGACAAACACACATAACACCAATATTACACATTCGTACACATAGAAGACCACACATACGCATACACGCACACTTTATTCTCACTATAAAATTTATGCCAAAGGAACATGAGACAAATAGAAGAACATCATCTATAACAAAATCGCATCGCCTAAAACAAAGAAGCATCACCTAAAATTAGTATATAAACATGAACATAAGAATGGAAGAAACTGCAGCGGCTCTATTGGCCCAAACTGGGCAGTCCCATTTACACCCAACCCCTATTGCTCATATATCCGTCCAACCTAAGTTTGAAGCTATCCAGCGTATTCGAGTTAATGATGATATTTGGTAACTTGTTCCACTCGTCCACTATTCTATTTCCAAACCAATGTTTACCTATTTCGAGCCTAAATCTAAATTCGTCTAATTTAAAACCATTGTTATGAGTTCGCTCCTGGTTGGATAGTTTGAGTACCTTTGTAATGTCCCGTTTGTTCAGCCCTGACTTCCATTTCTACACCTCTATCATATCGCCCCTCACTCTACGTCTCTCGAGGGAGTGCAAATTAAGATGCTTCAACCTGTCTCTGTACTCAAGGTTCCTAATGCCCGGGATTAGTCTTGTCATTCTCCTCTGAATTCTTTCCAAGGATTCTATATCCATTCTGTAATACGGTGACCAGAATTGAACTGCGTAATCCAGGTGTGGTCTCACAAGCGCAAGATATAGTTTTAGGGTGACCTCGCTAGTCTTGTAACTAACACTCCTTTGTATGAACCCAAGTACTTTATTAGCCTTGTTTCCAGCAAATACACATTGTTTACTTAGCTTAAGATTCCTGCTTATCATTACTCCTAAATCTCTCTCGCAGTCGGATTTCTCTATGGCATCGTTGTTCATCTGGTATCTGGTTTCCCTGTTTACATCTCCTATACTGAGTACTTTACATTTGTCCACATTGAATTTTATCTGCCATTTTTCAGACCATTCGAAAATTTTTTTTAGATCTTACTGTAATTTTGCGGAGTCCTCGTCAGATTTAATTACACGCCCTATTTTAGTGTGTGTGAAGGTCAGCTTGGTTAGGACTCAGCTGTTACTGTTGAGTTGTTCTCACTGACTTAACCACTGTTCACCAATGTTCAACACTGGTTCCATTCCTTTCCTAAATGAAATTGTAACTTCTGGCGAGAACTTGTTGATATTCCGGTGGGGAGGAGGGTTCAGGGGAGGGAGTTGGTATGGGCCAACTTAACAGTTGACCTGGCTGCTCCCAGAGGAGCGCCAGGTACGTCTTGACCCTTCAGTGGTCAAGGATGTAGTGTGTGTGTGTGTGTGTGTGTGGTAATGGGCTAACGAGAGAATATAAACACATATTTATCTCCCTCACGTGGGGGAAATTTTGAAAGGGCTCGTCAAGTTAGGGAAAATTTTGCATAAGCACTTAGCAAGTTAGGGAAATTTTCACGAGTAATTGACAAATTTGGGAAATTTTCACGGGGACCTGGCAGGAGTTTAGGGAAATTTTCACGACACGATATCTATCTATCCATGTATGTATGAGCCTAACAGACCTTAAACTAACAAGATATAAATATATAATAATCTTATAAACATCGTAATAAAAGGACACACACACACACCTTGTTTACTCTTCCTGTTGTCTTCTCATTTCCTATTTATTTTGTTTATTTATTTATTTAATGTTATCCAAACGTTTTAAGTATTGAAAAAATGGATGAGGTGACTTTTTTTCATTATTTCTTTCATTCATTCTTTTTCTTCCTTCGTTCCTTCCATTCGTTCTTTCTTTTATTCTTTCATCTTCCTTTCTTTCATTCCTCGTTTATTTATTTCTTTTCCACACTTAATACATAAATAAAACATATTTTTATCTTCGTGTAAACAGAAAGGAAACAACACAGACACCACAAGAGGGACTCGACCTATCAACGTTCAGGAATGGTGCGGGAATTCTCTCTCAGCCTATCAGCGTCCAGGAATAATAGCTTAGGAGTTCTCTCAGCCTATCAGCGTCCAGGAATAATAGCAAGGAATACTCTCAGCCTATCAGCGTCCAGGAAAAATAACGCGGGAATACCCTCAGCCTATCAGCGTCCAGGAATAATAGCAAGGAATACTCTCAGCCTATCAGCGTCCAGGAATAATAGCAAGGAATACTCTCAGCCTATCAGCGTCCAGGAATAATAACGCGGGAATACCCTCAGCCTATCAGCGTCCAGGAATAATAACGCGGGAATACTCTCAGCCTATCAGCGTCCAGGAATAGCGAGGGAACAACAGAATGGAGGGTGGAGCCATCTAGCGGGTATTCTTGGAAGACAATGGCGGGCTGGCAGTGTAGACACATAAAGCTCCTGCAGCACTTTGTGTTCTTTAGTGTTATAAGCGACCATATTTAGACCACCTGAACATTAGCCACCCCAATTTATTTCACCTGATAACTAAGCATTTTAACGCTATCCTAACCTAATATAACACCAACCTAACAGAATCTAACGCTAACCTAACTCTAACCACGTCTAACACCAACCTAACCTAACCTGAGAACTACTGTACCTGTACTTAAAACACACACACTAATTAATTACTAAATAAACTTCCTTAACGTGATTCTTAAGTTTTACGTCTCCTGATTAATTTGGAGAGAGAGAGAGAGAGAGAGAGAGAGAGAGAGAGAGAGAGAGAGAGAGAGAGAGAGAGAGAGAGAGAGAGAGCTAACTCACCTAAACAGGGTAGCTTCACCTCTACTCGCTCATCATCATCCGAGACCTGCAAAGAAATTATCCAGTGTTACTTACAAATTATCCAGTGTTACAAATTATCCAGTGTTACAAATTATCCAGTGTTACTTACAAATTACCCAGTGTTACAAATTATCCAGGGTTACCTCACTATCACCATCTGGTATAACAGCTGGTGGTACCCAATCACATCCCTGGCTCAATGTGACATCAAAGAACCACCAACCAATCAGTTAGAGGTATAATCGCCTCTAAATACCATTAGTGATTGGTGATTGGGAAATTATATATGGTTATTACATTGATGTGAAGGCTTGGTGATTGTGGTGATTCGTGTTAGGGATTGGTTAGTTTGTTAGTGATTTGGTGGTGGTAGTAGTGGTGGTACTTGGTGATAATGGCGGTGGTTAAAGGGTGTTGGTTGATATTGGTGATAATTAACTAAATAAGTTACTAAGAAAACAAATAAACAAGTAAACAAGTAAGTCAAGAGTCAGGGGAGCCTCAGTATAAGACAGACAGACAGACAGACACTTTTCACTAGACGAATGGGGGAAGTTTGTGGGGTGGGAGGGGTGAGTGGGGGGGAGTGGGAGGTGAGAGGGAGGGGGTGAGAGAGAGAAGAGTGGGAGAGAGAAGTGAAGAGGAGGGAGAGATATTGACAGCTTGAGAATTGAAAGTTGAAACAAAAATTGCAACTTGTCTCTGCAATTTAGAATTTCATGAAAGTCTTTACGAAGATTCTGAACGTCTGCAAGTTACAAGAAGCAATTTAAAACAACATATTGAGTCAGGTGGTAGGTAGGGGAGGGAAGATAGGGAGGGGGAGAGAGGGAGGGGGAGAGAGGGAGGGGGAGATGGAAGATGTGGGGAAAGGCGAATTGAGGAAAATGATGGAGGAAGAGGAATAGCAAGAGAGAGAGAGAGAGAGAGAGAGATGAATATAGTGAGCGAGTGAATGTCTGGAGTGAGTAATTAAAGTGAGTCAGGAGGTAATTAAGTGAGGTGAGATTTTTGACTGGAGGATTACAATCAATACCGTGTGAGACTTGACCTTTCACTCTCTCTCTCTCTCTCCATCTTTACATATCTGTGTCTATCTCACTCCTTGTCTTTCCCCCCCCTCTCTCTCTCATATATGGGCGCCGTGTTAACTATAGTTCTTATCTAGTTAATGTTGGTATATTATTATTCCTTTAAATGCTGTACTGGTGTTGTTCTTACTGCTCGTGTTGTTAGTTGTTGTTGTTGTTGTTGTTGTTGTTAGTTGTTGTTAGTTTGTTGTTGTTGTTGGGGTTTTGTTTACCATCACCACCACCACCACCATCACCAACACCACCACCACCACCACCACTGCCACCACCACCACCACTCACCACCACCACCACCACCACCACCACTCACCGCCACCACCACCACCACCACCGCCACCACCACCACCACTCCCGCCACCACCACCACCACCACCACCACCACCACCGCCACCACCACCGCCTTGGTAATACTGTCGACTATTAAACCCAATTCATTTTTTTAATGACGAGTGTAATCTTTCTTCTTTCCCCGTCTCACCTCCTCCTCTTCCTTCCTTCATCTCCTCGTTTATAATCAATTTCCTCCCCTCCCCTCCTCGTCCGCTTTCCTTTATTTTTCAAATTTCTTTTCCTCCTTCTTTCCTTCTCACCTCCCCGTGTATATAATCAATTTCCTCCTCCTCCTCTTCTCTCACCTCTTTACCTCACTTTCCTCCCCCATTCCTCTCCCTTGACAATGTTGCAGAATATTTTGTTTTTGTTGTGGTGGCCTGACAACCAACATCAATCAACCACCACCACAAAATAACGCGCGCAATTTTGGCGGGAAATAGCTCTCTCTCACCAGCACTCCCACAATGTTTTGGCGATAGGATAAAATCACTGGGGGAATAATTTATCCACCTCAACACCACAGTAGAATATTTTGGCGATGAGACCAATATTATAACGAAAAATACCTGCGCGAAAATAGAGCCTCTTTAAGAATATATTTCCGAAGACGATGACAGGATGATATAATCTGGGCTATTTTGGCGGGAAAATATCCACCTCAACACCAATCAGAAACTATTGATGTTGAAGAAGAGGAAAAATGACCGCGAAATTACACACTTCATCACAACCTCTACATAATTTTGGCGGAGTAAAAAGGTCGATATTACCGTTATTTAAAAATATTTACCCGGGAATATTAACTTTATTTCATAACACTACGATAATATTGACACCAGGACAAGCAACACTGATCAGCAACCACCGAAAATTACGCGGGCAAATTTAGCGGGAAATTACAAGCCCGTTCCTCGACACCTACACTATACAGAATAGGGTTTAATCACACGCGCCACCACCACCGTTACCGCGCCTGGCTGACGAACGATGACGATCCAACCCTACAAACGGGATCAAGGACGATGCTCACTTGTTTACGTTACCTCTATACCCATCCCTAGAACGCTGATTGGACTATGCGATCCGTGTTCCTGATTCTGGTGGCTTTTGATTGGCTGGCGATGTTTGACGAATGAGTGACCTGTTTACACACGTGGGAGTGAGAGTGAGGGTTGATTATAGTGTGTGTGTGTGAGGGGGGGGGGTGTAGTGAAGATGATTGTGGGGAGCTTTACACTGACTCATTCACTGTCTCCTGTCCACTGAATTACTGTCATCTTGAGGCACTACCAGTAGACGGAAGAGTCTGTCTGAGTTCTGTATGTTTCACTGTCAATTTTGTGTTATGCTGGGAATTTGTATCTAAAGAACAGGAATTTGAGGAATTTAATATGAAGGAATAGAAGACAAATAGGAATCTTGAGAATTAACACAGAATTAAAGGAACAGAAAGATTACAACGGCGCCAACTTAAATTCCCGAGAATTTAAGGGAAAAAGAGTTTATAAGGGTTACCACAGAGAGACGATTCCCATTCCAAGAACCCAGGAATGGAACAACCAGCAGAGCGGAGAATTACTCAGAATTATCATGTCAGAATTAAGGCCCCCGGATGACCACGGCGCCAACTAGCAGGAAAATAATGTCTTTGTTGCCTCATACACAACGGCGACGCACACTCTCCCTCTTTCTCAAAGGTTCCTACGTTAAGTTTTTTTTCCCTCCTAAGTGGAAAAGTGTCTGAATCTATCTTCACTAACTCACTTTGAATTCCGACACAGGGGTGAATTCTCAAGGGTTCCTACGTTAAATTGTGTTCTGGAAATGTGAGAACGGTTAAATTACAACATATAAATGAATTCTTAAAGGTTCTTACGTTAAATTCTACCACTTAACTTAAAAACGCAGTTAACGGATACACTTAGGTCCAAAGAAGTATTCTCAAAGGCTCCTACGTTAAAGTCTACCCCTTAACTACGACTATGAAAACGCACTTTAAGTTAAGACCCAAAGATGGACTCTCAAAGGCTCCTATGTTAACTTGTGTCCAGTAGTTGGGGTGTTAAGTGAGCGCAGTTATTAGTCAAGTCTCTGTGCAATTAAGGCGCCATTTTGGCCACTATCCAGGAACCGCAGATTAAGTGAGCAGTTAGATATGTTGTCTTACATCAGCACCAATTAGGGGAGTGGGGGAAGGGGAGGGAAGAAGAGGGGGGAGTGTAAGGGGAGAGGGGGGAGGAAGAGAGAGGGGGAAGGTGAAGGAAGAAGGGAGTGGGGAGGGAGAGTGCAAGTAGAGGCAGAAATAGGAAAGAGAAGGGAGAGGAAAGGGGATGGGAGAATGAAGGTGTAGAGAGGAAGGAAAATGACGTTGAAAGAAGAGAGGAAGTGAGGGACGGAGGAACGTTAGGGGGAGGGTGATGGAAATTTAACGAAAACACCTATTGAGAATCCACCTTAGTGTCGTAGGTTAGAGGCAGGTATAGATGCGGTCACCCACTACAGCAGGAGACTGTATCGTAGAGGAACCTTGAGAGTATATACTGGGTCCTGGTGGGGGTGATGAAGGGCGTGGACGGGAGCCAGAGGGAGGGAGGGAGGTGGGTGGGATGGAGGGGGATGGAGGGGGATGGTAGGGAGGGAAAGGGGAGGTGAGGTTAGGTTAGAGTTAGGGTGTTTAAACATTACACACACACACACACAGACACACACACATGACCTGGCAACACACACACACCAAGGAGGGAGGTCACCAGCAGGCAGGTCTTGGTGGATGGCAGGGAACGTCAGTAGTGTTTGGTGCAGCAGTCTGAAAAAATCCTCCTTTGATTTTCCTTCTCTCTTCTCGGCCAACTATTATACCTTCGAGATTACCGAGTTTTTAGCCTGCAGTATTTTTTTTTCTTTTTAACGCCAGACGAACGTTCGCCTGTCTTCTAACGTGTTAAACTTTAAGATAATTCAAGTCCCAGACGCTGGCAGTCAAGTAAAGTCATTAATTCCAGGCGACCTTAATTGTCGACTACTGTTGAGTACATAAGAACTTTTTTTATGAACCAAGTCCTCTGCCTACAGTGACGCTCGTTTACCGTCAGACGAACGTTCGCCCGTGTGTGTCCCTGAGAATGCATGTTTTCTGCCTACAGAGGTGCTCATCTACCGCCAGACGAACCTGACCGGGCTTAAAAAAAAATAACCTGAGTTGATTGTCTTACTGAGCTGGGTGACTGCCAGGTCTCTGCCGCGTCTGCCCTTCTGGAGGAGGGTGCTGCGGGGAGTATGGGAGGTGAGAGGGAAGGAGAGGTAAAATAGGAGAAGAACATGGAAACTGCGTGGGCGGAGAGAGGGTGATGGGGAGAAAGGGGGTGAGGGGAGAGGGAAGGGGTAGGGGAAAAGCAGGGTGGACAACCTGGTGTAGAGGAGAAGGTAAGGGGAGAGGGGAGGGAAAAGGGAAGGAAGTCTATACAAAAGAAAGAGAGAGAGAGAGAGAGAGAGAGAGGAGAAGAAAAGATATGAAGGAAAACAAAGAATAACTATGACACAATACTTTCACAAATAACGCCAGGAGCAGAAGACAAACTAAACCCCTAGACGTAAACACAAA